TTAAGAGGAAAGCTTAAGAGTATGAAAGGGGATGAGAAGAAAAATAAAAGTGAGAAGTAATTTAAAAGCATGTAACCATGAAAGTACTCATCTTGGTTGCGTGAAGGATGACCGGAGAACTGGCTGGGGAATCGTCAAAAAATCGCTAAGCTTATCAAAGTTTTATTGCAAAGACGAGTTCTCGAAATATGAAGAAGGTAAAAAGTAAAAAATCTAGATTTGCAAAACATTATAATGATAAAGGAAAGCACAAAGGTTGAGGTCGTAGGTGAGTCGTCAGATCAAAAGTCGTCTGGGTGATTTAGCTTTGACCAAGGGATATGGATTTGACAAATGCCAAAGATCGTAAATCAGGGGCGTTGATTTTTAATAAGGATCCACGACGTAGATCAAAATGGAGGATCAGGGGCGTTGATTTTGAATAAGGATCCACGGCGTAGATCAAAAGAAGCATGCTAGGATTTCTGAAGGGACGTTTCTGACAGAAACATATATCGAGATCGTCAGTTGGGCGCAAACAAAGAATTTTTGTACAAGTCAAGGTAGCTCATCCAAGAATGGGAGGGGACTATGATATGGCCATACTTGTGAACCGGAGTCAAGTATGAAGAGGTCCGAGCGAAACGGAGGAAGAGCAACCTGAGGAGGTCTAGACGAGACTTGAAGGTCTCGGTGATTAAGTGTGGGAAGTAGACAGAGACTGAGTATGAGAAGCTCTACACGACTAAGTATGAGAAGTAGACATGCTCTCTGTGACTGAGCATGAGAACTTCCACACGACTAAGTATGGGAAGTAGACATTCTCTCTGTGACTGAGTATGAGAAGCTCCACACAACTAAGTATGAGAAGTAGACATGCTCTCTGTGACTGAGCATGAGAACCTCCACACGACTAAGTATGGGAAGTAGACATTCTCTCTGTGACTGAGTATGAGAAGCTCCACACGACTAAGTATGGGAAGTAGACATGCTTTCTGTGACTGAGTATGAGAAGCTCCACACGACTAAGTATGGAAATTAGACATGCTCCTATGACTGAGCATGAGAAGCTCCACACGACTAAGTATGGAAAGTAGACAAGCTCTCTGTGACTGAGTATGAGAAGGTCGAGCTTCTCTAAGAAGATAAGTAGAGGTCATCTCGACCTGCTAGACCTGCTAGAGGTCATCTCGACTTGCTAGACTCGTCTCGACCTGCTAGACCTGCTAGAAGTCATCTCGACTTGCTGGACTTGCGAGAGGTCATCTCGACCTACTAGACTTGCGAGAGGTCATCTCGACCTGCTAGACTTGCCAGAGGTCATCTCGACGTGCTAGACCTGCTAGAGGTCATCTCGACTTACTAGACGTCTTCTCTACTAGAGGTCTCCGCTACTAGACGTCTTCTCTACTAGACGTCTCCGTGACTAGAGGTCTCTGCTACTAGACCTCTCCGCTACTAGACGTCTTATCTACTAGACGTCTCCGTGACTAGAGGTCTCTGCTACTAGACGTCTTCTCTACTAGACGACTCCGTGACTAGAGGTCTCCGCTACTAGAAGTCTTCTCTACTAGACGTCTCCGTGACAAGAGGTCTCCGCTACTAGAGCTCTCCACTACTGGACATCTTTGTGATTACAAGAGCATGATCTAGAGGCAGTAATTGGATAATAAAGAATCTTGAGTTGACTAGGAGGTAGATGGAATGCGAACCATCCAGGGCATTTTGGACACTTCAGGTAAACCTCCCAGTGCATTTTGGGTACTTCAAGCAAGTATTTCCCTCTATTTAAAGGGGCTGAGATAATCCTAAACCCTAACCTCTACTCATTCTATACACTTTCCATCTCTCTGCTGCTGCTGCTCTCTAGGAGCAGCTCTCTGCCCAACATTCTATGCATTTCTACATGCATCACAGAGCTTCATCTTCCTCTCCTCTGTTTACTGACTTGAGCGTCGGAGGCCCGACGCCGGGACCTCTCCCGGCGTTGGGTTCTTGCAAGTGTTTTCGGTGGTCTGGAAACGATTTGAAGGCGATTCAAACAGATCAGAGCTCACAACAACCGGTTTACTCCAAATCTGGATGTAGACCCATCAATTGGCGCCGTCTGTGGGGAGCTCTTGAAGGAACTAAGAGCTTTGCACCTAGTTCTGATCTGTCTGAGATGGTTGAGAAGGGAAGTATGTAGAGGAATTTAAGTGAGGTGTTGTGGGGGATATGAAGAGGAAGGAAACCTCTGGTGGTTCTCAACCTTGAGTTTTTTTTATCTCTGTAAAGGTGTTGCCACTGTTTGATTCTCACGCTCCGTCATGAGCGCGTATGGAAGAGGTGCTACCTTCACCCCTGGAGGGGAAAAGCCAGTTATTTGCTGAGACGCAGAGCAATAGACCCTCACCAATGACACTTGGTGAAGGCAAAGAATATGGAGAAATCACTAACTAGAGACACTCGTGACGAGTTGGGGTCATTCTAGACTACACTCATGACGAGTTGGGGTCATTCTAGACTACCTAGAGACACTCATGACGAGTTGGGGTCATTCTAGACTACCTAGAGATACTTATGACGAGTTGGGGCCATTCTGGACTACCTAGAGACACTCATGATGAGTTGGGGTCATTCTGGACTACCTAGAGACGCAAATGACGAGTTGGGGTCATTCTGGACTACCTAGAGACACTCATGACGAGTTGGGGTCATTCTGGACTACCTGGAGACACTCATGACGAGTTGGGATCACTCTGGACAATCTGGAGGCACTCATGACGAGTTGGAATCACTCTGGACGATCTAGAGGCACTCATGACGAGTTGGGATCACTCTGGACGATCTGGAGGCACTCATGACGAGTTGGAATTACTTTGGACGATCTTGAGGCACTCATGACGAGTTGAGTTCACTATGGACGACTTAGAGACCTTCAGTTAGGTGGAAGAGCGACTTTCGCGACTTATATACAACTAAGTAAGACTTATATACAATCATGGCTAGAGGGGCCTAGCTCTAAATCCAAAGGAGTCTAAGTCTACAAGAGAGAATGACTTAAGTTTCTAAAACAGCTACGAAGCTGAAGACGACTACGTAGTCGATCATCTCAAACTCCACCATGACTAAGGCTTTTGAAAAGCTGGGTGGTCACTTGTTTTGAACAATCCTAGACTTGGGTTGGGCAAGTGTTTGAAATCAAAATCCACCATGACTAAGGCTTTTAAAAAGGTGGTCACTTGTTTTGAACAATCCTAGACTTGGGTTGGGCAAGTGTTTGAAATCAAAATCCACCATGACTAAGGCTTTTCAAAAGCTGGGTGGTCACTTGTTTTGAACAATTCTAGACTTGAGTTGGGCAAGTGTTTGAAATCAAATTCCACCATGTCTAAGGCTTTTGAAAAGCTAGGTGATCACTTGTTTTGAACAATCCTAGACTTGGGTTGGCCAAGTGTTTGAAATCAAATTCCACCATGTCTAAGGCTTTTGAAAAGCTGGGTGGTCACTTGTTTTGAACAATCCTAGGCTTGGGTTGGGCAAGTGTTTTAAATCAAACTCCACCATGACTAAGGCTTTTGAAAAGTCGGGTGGTCACTTGTTTTGAACAATCCTAGACTTGGGTTGTGCAAGTGTTTGAAATCAAACTCCACCATGACTAAGGCTTTTGAAAAGCTGGGTGGTCACTTGTTTCGAACAATCTTAGACTTGGGTTGGGCAAGTGTTTGAATTCAAAATCCACCATGACTAAGGCTTTTGAGGAGCTGGGTGGTATCCAACTTTGAAACAACTCGCAAGCTGGGTTGAGCGAGGTCGTGAATTGAAAATTTTTCTAAGTTAAACTGCTCTACGCGGCCTAGAGTTGCTCGTTGATTCCAACTTTGAACAGCTCGCAAGCTGGGTTGGACGAGGTCATGAATTTTAAATTTTTCCAAGTTAAACTGCTCTACGTTGTCTAGAGTTGCTCGTTGATTCCAACTTTGAACAACTCGCAAGCTGGGTTGGGCGAGGATAGTATTGAGGATAAAAGGCATAATGGGAGAATTGATTGCAAAAGGGAACTAACATGAGCTAGAAGCTCAACTCGACCTGCTAGACTTGCTAGAGGTCGTCTCGGCTTAACAAGAGCAGAACAAGAGCTCATCTAGACTTGACAAAAGGGGAGCAAGAGCTCATCTAGACTTGACAGAAGAGGAGCTAGAAGCTCATCTCGGCCTACTAGACTTGCTAGAGGTCGTCTCGACTTAACAAGAGAGGAGCAAGAGCTCATCTAGACTTGACAGAAAAGGAGCTAGAAGCTCATCTCGACCTGCTAGACTTGCTAGAGGTCGTCTCGACTTAACAAGAGAGGAGCAATAGCTCATCTAGACTTAACAGGAGAGAAGCAAGAGCTCGTCTCAACTTGACAGTGGACCTACTAGAGGACATCTCGACTTGCTAGAGGTCATCTAGACCTCGCAAACACGAGCTAGAGCTCATATCAATCTAATGAAAAAGAGACTAGAAGTCATCTCCTCACAAAGACATGAGCTAGAGCTCATCCCAATCTAACAAAAGAGTAGCAAGAGGTCATTGAGATCGAACAATTAGAGGTCATCGCGACCCAAAAGATATGATGACTTCAAGATATCAAGAACTAAATGATGTCGTGACTTAACAAGATCATCAAGACCTGTTATCGCAAGTGAGAGGCACAATGAGACTCCGCAAGTGTTTATCGCGATCTAATAAGTCAAATGGCTAAAGCGATCTTACATAAGCAAGCTACCAACACATCACAAACAAGCATGGAGCGAAATACAAGTGCAAATACATAGGTCATCGCGACCTCAAACAAAAAGAGAAAATATTATGGTCTGCACAACCTTACAAACGAGCTACAACCTTACAAAAGAGCAACAGAGATCATACATGAGCAATTGTTCAAATGGTCATCGAGGCCTTACATAGCTTGTAAAAAATTTTTAGCTCAATTGCCCTGTGAGTAGCCCAAAACCAAGTAAATCATTGATTCAAGGGTAATGCACCCAACTACTCGACTAGAGTGCTAGCCTGATGCTAATATACGCCCCTAATGACATCCATAGCCTCGGCAATCTTCGCTCGGAGAGCTTTGGGTAACTAGAACAAATGCAACTCTGTTATCTGGTCCATTTTCAGGAGCATGCCAGTAACCTTAGCTGTCATCTCGAGCTCCAACTATTCCATGAGTGCGTACAAATTTCCATCCAACATCTGCATTAACAAGGAATTCAAACACTGTCAATGAGCCACCCAAATAAACAGGAGAAGATGAGGAAAAGACGAGACCGGAATATAGAAATTATAAATAAGCAGTCCATCGGCAAGCAAAGCACATGACAAAGACAAGTACATTGCGACTTACCTGTCATGACTCATAATCACACATAAATCCTGTCACACAGCAATGAAAAGAAGAAATCATGGTTAACATACTCGCAAACAGAAGCATGAAGCAACCTAATGGACACGAAAGGCGATAGTATATATCGCAAAGAGAAGGAGCAACCCTCACATCGCAAAGGAAAATTACAGCTAGCATGAGTATCAGAAAACAAATGAGCAATTCACACCGCGACTAATTCGTCGCAACCAGTACATCACAAATCAGAAAAATACGAGCAGAGAACACAAGCCTAAAACAGCAGCATAAAAGGAAAAATACAAGCAGCAGCTAACTTGTGGAAAAATATCAAAGAACAAACCGCCACAGACGCCAATCAGACCCACCAAACTTCGACTTACAATTAAACAGAGCACAACGGAGAAAACCGCGACTAGAATGTCGCGAGCAGGTTCATAAGAAAGATTAGATACGAGCAGTTCAAAAATAAATCAGAAGACCTGGTCGACACCATTGCAAATAGATGTATGCCAGCAACATTAGTCGACCTAATCACAGATAGGTCGATTAGATCGAGGTTGTGAAAGCAACTCATTGAGGAAAAACGTGACCAGAAAAGCACACATAAAAACCGAAAAACCGAATAACATAGAATCTCGAAATACGCTGAATATCGACTTGCTATCTCGCAGAATAAGAATCTCAACTATCTATCTCGCAAAATAGGAGCCTTGACTTGTTACCTCGCAAAATAGGAGCCTCGACTTTCTATCTCGCAAAATAGGAGCCTCGACTTGTTGCCTCGACTAACGTATCTCGAAAAGCAGATCCGCCTATAGCAAAATAAAGGAAATCAGCAGCTAAATTTATCGTGAAATACCAGAAAAGAGCAGCAGGGACTCCCAATGCCAGTCAAGATCAACATATCGCGACCAGAAAATCATTAAATCGTGACCTAGGGCAAAGTACCAGAAAATAGACTCACATCGCCAAGCAAGTGAGCATCGATTCATGTGAATGAAGCAGGAGACGAGTAATGATAACGCAAGTTGCATATCGCGAGTCGAATAAAAATGACTGAGCAGTAGAAAATCGCGCCTTGCGGACCGCGAACCGTAGATCTCGACTTGTGGAAAATGACTGAGCATTAGAAAAGCGCAACTCGTGGACCGCGAGCAGTAAACCTCGACCTGGGGAAGATGACGAGCAATAGCGAATCGGCGACTTGCAAGGCGTGAATAAGGGAAAATCGCGATCAATAGCAGATCCTGACTCGCACGACAAGGATTAGAGGGAAATCGCGAGATGGGCGAGCTGGAAGTAAATCACGATTGAAAACATGAGAATCGCGAATTGGCAAGAAATTCGTGAATGAAATCATGACCCATACATCGCGAATTAAGAAGCAATTTGTGAATGAAATCGCAAGTGCGAGCTGGGAGAAATTTGTGAATTGAATACGCGAGAATCACGAGCTGGGAGCAAATCGCGAATTAGAAATACATGAGAGGTTATGACTTATGAACTGGGAAGAAAATCGCGAGGAAAAGCGAACTTGGAAAAGATTCTCGAGAAAATTGGAAAGCAAATCGTGAAGTCGAGAAGGAAATAGCAAGTCGAGAAGGAAATCGAGGGAAGAACCGGCGTGAACTTGGAGACAATTCTCAAAGAACTCGACATAAAGACTAATCATGAAGACGAGAAGAAAGAAAAGAGGTGTTGAGCATTTGAGTTGGGCCTAATGAGTTGGGCCCATGGAAACTAATAATTTTAACTAATCCTACATGTGGAAACAAAATACATGCTAAAGCCTAGCAATTTCGAGCCCTCGAATCAGAAAAATCTACGAATAAAAAATAAACAGGATTACGAAGAGACAAAGACGTCCATTCAAATACTGCAAACTCTGATAAATGCTAGAATTCCCAGACTATTGGCCTTACTCTACAGCTCGAGTCCCAGTAGAGTAAGTTTTTTTTTTGGGGGGGGAGGGGAGGGGACTAGATGATATAGCCATACTTGTGAACCGGAGTCAAGTATGAAGAGGTCCGAGCGAAACGGAGGAAGAGCAACTTGAGGAGGTCTAGACGAGACTTGAAGGTCTCGGTGATTAAGTGTGGGAAGTAGACATGCTCTCTGTGACTGAGTATGAGAAGCTCCACACGACTAAGTATGAGAAGTAGACATGCTCTCTTTGACTGAGCATGAGAACCTCCACACGACTAAGTATGCGAAGTAGACATCTCTCTGTGACTGACTATGAAAAGCTCCACACGACTAAGTATGAGAAGTAGACATGCTCTCTGTGACTGAGCATGAGAACCTCCACACGACTAAGTATGGGAAGTAGACATTCTCTCTGTGACTGAGTATGAGAAGCTCCACACGACTAAGTATGGGAAGTAGACATGCTCTCTGTGACTGAGTATGAGAAGCTCCACACGACTAAGTATGGGAAGTAGACATGTTCTCTGTGACTGAGCACGAGAAGCTCCACACGACTAAGTATGGGAAGTAGACATGCTCTCTGTGACTGAGTATGAGAAGGTCGAGCTGCTCTAAGAAGATAAGTAGAGGTCATCTCGACCTGCTAGACCTGCTAGAGGTCATCTCGACTTGCTAGACTCGTCTCGACCTGCTAGACCTGCTAGAGGTCTTCTCGACTTGCTGGACTTGCGAGAGGTCATCTCGACCTACTAGACTTGCGAGAGGTCATCTCGACCTGCTAGACTTGCCAGAGGTCATCTCGGCCTGCTAGACCTGCTAGAGGTCATCTCGACTTACTAGACGTCTTCTGTACTAGAGGTCTCCGCTACTAGACGTCTCCGTGACTAGAAGTCTCCACTACTAGACCTCCCCGCTACTAGACGTCTTCTCTACTAGACATCTCCGTGACTAGATGTCTCTGCTACTAGACGTCTTCTCTACTAGACGTCTCCGTGACTAGAGGTCTTCACTACTAGATGTCTTCTCTACTAGACGTCTCCGTGACTAGAGGTCTCTGCTACTAGACCTCTCCGCTACTGGACATCTCTGTGACTACAAGAGCATGATCTAGAGAGTAATTGGATAATAAAGAATCTTGAGCTGACTAGGAGGTAGATGAAATGCGAACTGTCCAGGACATTTTGGACACTTCAGGTAAACCTCCCGGGGCATTTTGGGTACTTCAAGAAAGTATTTCCCTCTATATAAAGGGGTTGAGGTAACCCTTAACCCTAACCTCTACTCATTCTATACACTTTCCATCTCTCTGCTGCTGCTGCTCTCTAAGAGCAACTCTCTCCCCCACATTCTATGCATTTCTACATGCATCACAGCTCTACATCACAGAGCTTCATCTTCCTCTTCTCTGTTTACTAACTTGAGCGTCCGAGGCCCGACGCCAGGACCTCTCCCCCCGTTGGGTTCTTGCAGGTGTTTGGGGCGGTCTAGCAGCGATTTGAAGGCGGTTCAAACAGATCGGAGCTCACAACAACCGGTTTACTCCAGATCTGGAAGTAGACCCATCAGGGGCGCTGATTTTGAATAAGGATCCACGACGTAGATCAAAATGGAGGATCAGGGGCGTTGATTTTGAATAAGGATCCACGGTGTAGATCAAAAGAAGCATGCTAGGATTTCTGAAGAGACGTTTCTGACAGAAATAGATATCGAGGTCGTCAGTTGGGCGCAAACGAAGAATTTTTGTACAAGTCAAGGTAATTCGTCCAAGAATGGGAGGGGACTAGATGATATAACATCTAGAATAGCTCGGTGAACCGGCTGGAGCGTTTAGCTTGGTCGTGGCCTGTCAAGGGAGCCTAACCCGTCTTCAATACATATACCTGTTAGAGAGCGCGTTTAGATAGCTTAGGGTATAGGTAGGTCAAGTTCAGATAGATCGGAGGTGGGAGGACCTATGGAAATCGGATATCTAATGGGATCTCTAGACACATAAGACGTTGAAGTGGAGGTTGTGGTTACGACCTAAGTAGGACTTGCGACAGGTAGGTAAGGAAGTCGTGGTTACGTCCTGTGGACCTAAGAGCCGTATAGTAAGAGGGAAAAGTCGTTCATGGATGGAAAATTCATCTTACAGACGAGTCTTAGATCTTAGCTAGGGACATGGTGAGTTAGAAAAGTAGAATACAAGAGAATATCTTTCCTAATTAAGACTCTCTTGGAGGCCAAATTATTTGAAGTATATAAGGGTAGCCATATTTTTTTTTTCACATCTCGCATACATGCACGATAAATTTAGTAATTCTATAGAGCCATCGGATGACTCCCTTATGAGACAATCCATAACTTTATGTATTGATACGTGTCCAATGTGCATTTATTGCAGGACACGTGTCAATACACCATTTGTGGATAACTATGGATGACTCCATAATTCGAGCCATCCGATGGTTCCATAGCAAAACCGACGATAAACTTACATACTGCCAGTTTTCTCTAGAGTAAAATACTGACTTGAGCGTCGAAAGTTTTCAGCCGAGACTCCTCCCCGACGTTTTACAGGTCATCGGAGCTTGGATCTTATAGTGGTTCGTGACACTACATGTCAACTCGATTCAAGGCAAACTGCACATCAATTTACGTTATAATTTTTTAAAAAACAAATTACGTTTTATCAAACATAGTGAACATTTGAAGTATTCACACCTAAATATTATTTAATATATTTTTCTGTTCTTTGTGTTTTATTTTCTATTTAAAGCAATTTTTTACATCAAATTCAAGTACCTATTCAACTATCGAAACCTGAAGCTTGGACCTTCGGGAGTGTCTTACTTGTTCCGTCCGAATTCTTCTCAATACCCAAGACCGAAATGAATCAGATAACATGTCAGTTCGAATCTGACGGGTCAAAGTCAACCAACGAAGTCCTTTGCTGGGGGGCAGAGTGCGCCCATTCTTTCTTTTTCGCGTCGAGTCACAGGTTGGAGCTTGCACGTTAAAGTAGTCAAGGCGGTCCCTCTCTATGAATTAGGGGAGCTTTGAAGCCTCTTTTCCTTCGACTCGAATGCAGATGAGACAACCTGTTATATTCACTAAATCAACAAGATCCTTCCTCAAAAGGCGTCTTTGGGTTCAGGAGCAGCTCCCCACTTTGATAAGCTTCCACCTCCCGCGGGTCGATCCAACTTTAGAAGCAAAGCGAAGTGAATTCTTTTCGATCTTGTACCCTACAAACTTTTCGAAGCGCAGTAAAGTCAAAAGTATTGGCGAAGTTCAGTCATAGAAGCCACTAAATAAGCTACACAAGCTTCGGTGCGGTACACGGAACACCAACCCAATCTCAAAAGAAAAAGCAGATCAAAGACTTATCCTCAATAGTCATAAAGGATCGTAGGCGATCTAAGGTTACCGACTTTAGTCCTGGGCCCGCCGATCTTAGGAGTGAAGTGCGCATACTTGGTTCAATGTCGAGTAGGATTTCGTATTTATGGGCCCTCGGAAGAAGGCAAAGGGGCGGGTCTGGTCGAGAAAGATGGGAAAAGAAAGAAAGAAAGCTCTTTTAGCGAGGTAACAAGTGCCGGAAATGCCCAATGGATCGAGTTATCTCATTCCTAGCTTTTGTGTGAAACCAGTAAATCCCTCCACTTTCACAAGTGATTTCAGCCCTTCAACTCGCGAAGCTTTTCTTTACACTACTAAGTTTGGGATACCGCAGCTACACCGAAGCTGACTGACCGAACCGAAGAGAAGGAAGCTACCGAAGCGAACCGCCTACTGTGATGGGCTCAATTCTTTGTCGTCCCCCCCGAGCCCGGTCCAATTGCCGGAAGAACCACTGACTCCCCCCGGGGCTCTGCCGGTAGCCTTTGGCTAGGGATCTAGAAATTGAGCTATTTGCTAATTATTTTGTTATGGGTTAGTGAAAGGGCTTACGCGCTCCTCATTGTAGTTCCTTTTTTGAGCGAGGAGTGGGAAAAGGGCAGGAACTGAAACTTCCAATGGATCATCAGACCGCTTCTGCCGTCGATCTTTCTCTTTTGTTGTGAGGAGTATGTCGGATAGGCTCCCAGTCTTTCTCACCAAGTCTGAAGACTCCCTTAGCCGGCTCTATACATTGATCGGCTTGGCGCACAAAAGAAAGAGGCCTATGGCAAAGGTTTAAAGTAGCTCGAACTAGACCCAGCTCTTTTACCCCCAAAAATGCCAGTTCGACCATCAGTCTTCGAGTGGTCAATAAGGATCCCTGAAAAAAAAAAGCAAGAATCTTACGACTCCGGAGTTGATCTACAAATTACGTTAAGGGAATGCTTTACAAAAAGGGTCTGAGCTTGGGATATCTTTCTATTATCCTTTAGCCGATAAGGGGGAAAGATTCCACCCTTCTTAAAAAAAAAAAGAGTCTGACGGAATATTCTAGTATCCCCGGTGCCCGTGGGTGACAGCCTGCACTATGACAATGTAATCGAACCTCCCCTCCAAATCCTCGATACGCTCTCTGGCAGCGTCCATTGGGAGGGACTTCAAAACCGAGGCCAGCCACACATGAACCCGGGTTGAGTAACCGTTGGTTCACATAGTTCCGAGGTATCGAGCTAGTCTTCAACTGCCCTAGTGGTATGGTTCGATTTTGAGGGGCATCAGGGACAGCGAGAAGCTTCTCACAGAGATAACTCGCATATGAAAGAAAGGATGCTTCGCTTGCTTTTATTATATGCGGTTCCTGCTTCTAGCGCGAAAGCACGCAAGGAGGTAGCGCGGGCCAAATACAGCCCACCTAACAGCTTGCCCGAGCGGTGACTTCTTTCGCAAGTGAAAAGCTCGTATCTTCCTTGCTTTCAAAGTGACGGGTTTCGGCATTCAAAGTCAAACGATTCTTTAGATTCTCGAGGAACTGGTCGAAAGAGGGAAGCCCATCTTAAGGTTGAATCTTCTCGCGAAGCCAACACATACCCTGCTATCCGGGCGAGAGATTCAGTCTACAAGAAGCTGGCAGAGCTTTAGCCAATGGGCCACATCCATCTATCCTACCTAAAGTGCCTTTGATTACTTGAGTTTAGCAACCCTCGATTAGCTCGTTCGTGAGCAGCACCGGCTGAACCTGAGAAGCATGCCCCGAGACTGACACTCCAGTTACTTCATCAGCAAGAAGTAACTACCGAGGAATGCAGCTTTGATATACGACTTACGGTGGGGAGAAGGAAGAGTCTATTAGAAAAACTAGTCACACGGTCCATATAGGAAGGTTTTTAGTAAACTTTAAGAGGTGGGTATTCTCCTATGTGCCACTCATATCAACCTTTCGACTTTAGCATTATAGCGAAGCGAGGTGCGAAGTGCTAGGAAGACAAAGCATGAAGATTGCTTCGGGGGGAAAGCAAGCTACCAATTACATGACTACATGAGGTTGGTCGTAGATCAAAGCAAGGCTCTGTAAGCTATAATGGGTTTACGAACCAATGCCTGGCAATGATCCATCCCTTTTTGGGCAACAGCTCCACCAAGACAAGACAAAAGAATCGGGCGCATACGCATAAAGGGGAGGGTTCAAATGTAGAGACGTTTTTACTCTCGGGGTTTAATCGGATGAAACACCTGGTCGTCGTTTAGCTGCCAGATAGGAGGTAAAAGGGATAGCGGAATGCCTCAGATCTTGACTAAAGAGGTAGCTACTTCGGTAAGGGAGTAGAGTCCCGAGAAGCTACAATAGAAAGGGTTCTCCTTCTATTTATGATAAAAGGTGGGAAGACCTCAGACTCTGTATCCGCTCTAGCTTCATATACCCCAACCCTTGAGGTAAGATCCACGAATACCCGATCCAAAGAGCAGGCAGGTATTTGTACTCCTCAACCCGAATCCAGGTAAGACTCGATCGCTAAGACCTGAGGTACGAGCCAGGAAAGGAGGTCAACAAGACGGCTAATCGAGCATAGAGACAGAGAAGGGCAACAATAAGGCTTGCAGTACCACTTCCCTCCTTCCTTCCTTTTCTTGGGTGAGTCAGTGGAGTCTGTTTTACTCGAGTTGAGTGAGCTAGGTGCTGGAGTTAGCTGGTTAGCTCGAGTGAGATACGTGGTTTATCGAGGTGAGGGACTCTGGCCCCGGGTCCTTCCTTTCTATTCCTCGGTAAGCGGACCGTGGGAGCATGGGGGGGCGGTATCTGCTTTTGACTGATAGAAAGCGTATGTAAGGCCTCCCTTCCATTCCATTACAGTCGTTCTTAGAATCTGTATTCTATGTATTAGCAAGATAAGTCTTCACCTAGCTCCCGTGTGAAACTCAAATAAGGTTTGGCTTTGCCTTTTTCGATCCTGCTTCGGCCACAAAGGGACTATGAAAACAAAGTCTTTTTCCTCTACTTATTACTTATTAGAAGGGCGAAGGTTCGGAAGCTTTTCTTTCTCGTGGTATCGAAGTCTTTCTCCTGGTACCGAATGTTGCTTGTTGCTAAGCATTGGAGCACCCAATCTACTAAAGACATTGCTATAAATTCTAGGTTCCTTCTCCACAGAGCAAAAGTATGCGGGATGTGTGTGAGTTAGTTTGGTCCCTCTCTGCCCCGCCTTGGGTTCGACTAACTTGGCTCTCCTGTCGTCCCCCGAGCGCCTTGTTGAATTGAAAATCTGGCTAATAATCCTTCTCAATATCACCCTTTATGATGTTTTATATGTTCGCAGTCTGATTTTATTAGTAGCTTGATTTCTTTATATCAATTGTTGGTTCGTTCTGACTGCACCGCCCAGTTTACTGATAAATTGTGTGTTATTCAGGACCTCGAGGATGGTGATTGGCGCTCTATGACTGAACTTCGCTTTCATCTTTCTTCTGGTGCTGCCAAGACCTGCCTCAAAGTAGATCTTCGGAAAGCCTACGACAGCGTGAACAGGCAATTTCTCTTCAATAAAAAAACCCATCTTCCCTTCCGTCGACTTATAGATGGAATCTAAATCTACAAACGCGTCTTTTTTGAAAAAAAAAAAACTCACGAGATTCTCCGAAAGCGAATGTCGGCGAATCGTCTGATTCTTTCGGACGGAGAAGAGTTGCCAATATAAGTGCGCCGAGTTCGAAGGGCAACAGCCCGAAGACTCAAAGTCCTGAGACTGAGACGAGGAAAATGGCCGATCGGGAGGGGTAATTAAATATAGCAGCTTTCTATCAGCCTAAAGGTGCTTTATCCGGATCCTTGTTCCGTTAGTTGACTTTTCATTTTCAGTCTTGTAAGTTAGTTATGTCTTTCAGGGGTATTTGTTTTTTCCCCCCAGGTCTTACATTCAACAAAAGCTCCCCCGTCGAAACATGTTCCTCCACATCTAGTGACTAGTTTTCCACTTCATAGGCTAGGAGTTCGTTAGCTCTGGCGCGTATTCGTTAAAGAATTCTATAAAATCTCCAATCCATGGCATGGTCTTAGATTCCAATCTGGTGAGTCATCCGATTGTGTTACTCAGTCATGTTACTCTGCTTACTATATTCACAATTACTAATAGTATGGCGTGACTTTGAAATAAACGGAATTCGATTTGTCTTTTTTTTCTTAATTTTTTCTTGTTTTCTTTCATTAGTGGAAATGGATTTATAAATAATAAGACTTTCTTTTATTAATTCAAGAAAAATCTACTAAAAGTAAGACACTGCCTAAGGTCTGAAACCTGTTTTGTACTCAACCCTGATGTTAGGGCAAAACCCACTTTGACCCCGCTCCTCAATCAATCTTTTTTTGTTTCCGATCCGGTTGGTGTTCCAACATCCTATGGGCGAAGGTTTACTCGCTTCTCGATCTTCCACTTGTCAACAGAAAAGGTAGTACTTCTAGTCGTTCGCAAAGGAGAAAGAAGGATGATACTGGATTCAATCTCTAGTTAACAACAAGCTATTCGATCTTTGGACCGGGAATTCCATCTTCAATCCCCTAGTTTCCCCATCCCCCATCGTATAGCTACTCCCAAAACGATTCCTCTTATTGTTATTATACGGTATTTAATATTTGATTGCGAAACCAGCTAATCCAATCCAGATCTAATCCTGATACTCTGTCGGGGAGCTTGACCAGATAGATTGGCCAGACTGCTTAGACAACTCCCTTGCTGGCCTGGCTCTTGCTCTTGCTTTGCTGTTTCCGAAACCAAGGGCATTCCCGATCATCTGACCGATCCCTCAGGAGAACTCGAGTAAAGGTAGGCCCGGGGCTCTTTCCTTTTCCCAGCCTAGCGCGCTCAATCAGTTAATTCAGTTGGTCAGTAGAGTAAAGGAAGGAGTTTAAACTAGGGGTAAGGAACTGGGGAGAGAAAAGAGAAAGTGTGCATCTGCGTTCTGTTTTTGGTGCTGACACGCGTAGGTTCGAATCCTGCTCTTGAAGAGGATAGTATTTCCGGCCTGGAGAGCATATTCATCAGCCGGAAGACAGGAAGAGAAAGAGCCTATCAGGAAGCTCTACAGCTCGAGAGTATAGTACATCAAGTTAAGATCATATGCAGCCGCTTCACTACAACTGATCCACCATCCCCGTGGACGCTATGTTCAAACTCGGTCCTTTTCTTTCCCCTACCCGATGACTCGCTCGAACTATTGGAAGACTTTTGGGAAGAAATCTATAATCTTTATGTCTTGCTGATCTTGCTAGCTAGCCCCAGCTTCCTAGAAAAACTACAGCTTGTCCTGTGCTTGATAATGGTACAGTAGGGCCAATATTTTATGAGAAATGAATGGGAGGTCTCTTATCAACTGCCATATGCAGGCATTGTATATTTCAGTTGGTTGTTCAGGGCATGTAGTCCCATTTGCCTTTCCAGGGACTTCACTTCGCTTCGCTTCGTTTGTATGGTCGAGATCTTTAAACCTTCACTTCGCTTCGCTTCGTTTGTACCTTTCTTTTTTCTTTTCAAAGAGTATTCTCAATTACATCGACCCTTAGCTTCACATCTACATCTACTTATAAAACACGTACACACAAGCAAGCCTCCCTATTCAGTGCTATGCATGGTTCCTTGGTAACTTCTAGTTTGATCAGGGAAACCACAAAAAATGAATCTGCTAACGAAGGTTACAGATTTGGTCAAGAAAAAGAAACTTATAATAACGTAGCTGCTCATGGTTATTTTGGCCGATTGATCTTCCAATATGCTAGTTTCAACAACTCTCGTGTGTTACACTTCTTCCTAGTCCGTAGCGGTGTGGAGGGGGAGGTCCAGGAGGGGGAACCATCCCCCCTCTTGTTCCGTCGCCCCTATGTATACCCCCAAAGTTGTCTGATAAGTCTGGCCTTTCCCGCTCCTCTTATCTCTCCCCTTTGTCTTCCTTTCCGTTCTTATTCGTTCCAGTCTGATTCCTGTCTTCTCTCTTCTATCTATGTTATCATAGCTAGGGTCCCGAAGCAAAGCGAGGAAATTGAGAGGTGATGAAGCTGCACTACCGAGGTCGCTAGGGATTGATGTCTCAACGGAAGTGCGAAAGCCTATTTGTTGCTTACGAGATCAGAATAAGCGTATTGAAAGAAATTCCTATTCTTTTGTAGAGTAGATTGTCAGCGGTGTATGTGCAGGACAATCCAATCGGTTAGGCTGGGCTGGGATACCCATATAGTCGCCGGGCTTAGAACATGGCTCTTCAGTGTCTATACAAAGCCCTTCTCTTCTTCTCTTCACTCAAAGAGGCAATGCAACCTTTCTTTGAATGGTACTTGATTCATATGAACCTTTTGAAGTTATGTTAGTAGGACTTTCTAAAAAAGAAATGCTACGCCCATAAATAAGGGTGTCACGAGATACGGAGCGTTCTAATCGAAGAGTCATACCTCTCGGACAGGAAGTGGAAATCTCATCTTAGGACGAGACCCCGGAACATTCTTACTGAGGCGGATCTACGGACCATCTCTTGTCCAGTAGCCATGATGACTGGAGAGCGAGAGGGTGTGGACGAGACTCCAACAATTTATCCAGTAGCCGCTTTTTTCCCCTTTGATAGGACTAGAGCCGATCATACCTTAGGGAGCTCTATTCCCGGTAGTAATAGCGTAGCACTTGTTGCGAAGCGAGCTCAGGTTTAGGTCCAAGTATCGGTAATACTGTCCAGGTTTGCGGAGCATCGGGTCGAAATCCTACCCTGGTTTTTGAGTTAATGAGCTAAGCGCGTGGCTCCTACTGTCTTTTGTCCCGCTCTGGTCAATGAAAAGACTACTAAGACTGATAGCTATGAAACTGCTAGTGGACAGAGAGGACTGAGTGCACGTTAGCTTGATGTGCTCAAGCCCACTAAAATCTCAATGTGGGATAGAGGGACAAGCAAGCCTCATCGCGAATTGAATGTGGGATATCCACAAAGGTCGACTGTGGTCAAGTAGCTGTTAGTAAGAAGTTCAAAAAAGGAAAAAAGCAAGGGAGCGCTAAAATCACTGCGAAAGGGTTTTCTATGGTAGAGCTCCTACTATTGCTAAGAGTTGGACTAGAAAGTAGAAGCCTCGATCTGGAGTAGAGCTGGCAAGGAAGTCGAGAAAGTAGATCTTCTTCTCGAGCATTCAATAAGTAAATTACTTCCTTTTCTCATCTCTCAATTACACCTTCACTCGACTGAAAGGGAGAGGAGAGCGAAGTGAGACTCACTTGACTAGAAAAGCAAACAAAGGGCAGAACGAATCTCTCTTATCTAAGATTATTCCGACGCAGCTATGAGCCTGGCCTTAATCTCATCGGGGCTAGTCTCTGATTGAGATGATATATAGAGGGATCCCCCTACCCCGCGACAGGTTAACTAGAGGGCTATTCCATAGCGCCAGGCGTCGGCTTTCAAACAGGCAGTTAGTTACCTATACGCGTAGGAAGAATCTGCTTTATCGAGCTCCGAAGGTTCGCTTGTGGCTTTCATAGATGCCCTAATATGGCAATAGGGTCTGCGACCACTCGTGGCCCCGGTACTGGACTGAAAAGAGGTTCACCAGCGTCTGCTCATTCCTCTGACCCAATCGGGTATTCCAACTCCTGATATCGATATCTCTCTATTCTAACTAGCCACTCTCGTAAGTGCTTTTCCTTCTACTGGGGGTTGTTATAGGAAGCCAAAAAACGTGAGCCTTTTAAAATATTAAGCCCCTTGGCGAACTCTTTGGCCAGACATAGAGGTTCCCCGCTGTTCTATTAGTTGAAGACCCCTGTTCTGGAAAAACCTTTCTTCAAAGTAGTAGTCTTTTGCGCACGAATTTTAGAATTTTTTCTCTTCTGAGATTGGCTCCTTCCCCTCTTTCTTGTTTGGTTTATGTAATATAGGGGGCAGAGGTTGATTAAGAATCCATTCAATGAGAGTCTCTCCAACTCCTTTCGGCATGGGCAATCGAATTGACCAGTCGTGCCAGGAGCTCAACTCAAAACGACAAGAAAATTCCTAAGTGAACAAGGAAGTACCCGATCTTCGGATTGAGTCGAATTTTGCATTGAATTTCGTTGCTTTAGGCGAGCAGTCAGGCCAGGCGTATCCATGGTATCGCGTATACCGTTAGCTGCCTAGCTGGTTTACCCAGTAGACCAAGGTCAATTACATCGAGCCTTACTGGGAGTTAGTTCTTCCACGTACTTATAGGGCGATAGGACATCATCAACTAAGCATCAGTTTGATGCCGTCTACCAGTCCAAGGTAGGGTAGTCAGTCTGTCTAGCAGTCCAAAAAGCAGTGCCTATACTGGTCCAAGAAGGCCTGCGCCGTCTCACGCAAGGCGGTGAGGTACGGGAGTATGTGCGGGAGTTCTCAAATCGTAGGCTTCCAACAACCAATCAAGTCCTTACTATTCTGAAGGAAAGCTTTGTTACCAGCTCCCCCCATAGAATGAGATTCATCATTAAGATAAGTGGTTCCTTGTTTCATCGGCTCACCAGGCGGCTTCTATGCTTGCTCGCGTTCACCTAGTTGAGTTGGGACTTGATGAACGAAGGGATAAGCTTACTTTTGCCGTCAAATGGAAAGTTAGCTCAGAGGGCAGGCGCTGGTACTAGGAGATCTTTAAACTGCTCAGAAAGAAGACCCCGCCTTTCGATCAACGGCTTTCTCAATTACATGGATCCTCAACAAAGATTTGAACCTTGGGGATAACCATTAGCATTGAGCAGAGGTTACGGCGGGATCAACAGGATTGGTTGGGTCTCTCGTACTAAGGTTTGGTCTCGGATAAGATCCCAATGCTGAAATACGAGGAATGAGGGAACGAGTAGTTAAAGTCGTGATGAATCTCGCCAGTAAAATGGGTCCTTCGCCTATTTCTAATTTCCAATGGAAATAAAAAAAACGGATCGATTTCTAATCTTCCACTAGTTGGATTAATGAATCATCCGGTAGCCGATTTGGAAGGCGGAGAGACGGTGGAAGACCAACGGAGAGTGACGGCACCACCTCCATCATCTGATGAGTTCAAATCGGTGCGCGCCAAGGCCCACTCAACAAAGGGAATACCGTCTGAGTCTATTTGTGTGGAGGGCAGCTTCACAAACTCTTCTCTATCTCCAGTGGCCAATGGGTCCTTGCATGCCTGCTTCCAGGTCAAGAGAGATTTGGTTTCAAAATGGAATGTAAACCCCCGGAAGCGATGTCTGACAGATTGACCTCTATAAGAATAAAAGGGGTTCTTCCGACAAAAGCTTAGTCTGGCAAATTGGTCGAGGTGAATTACATCCATCCTCTCCTGGGACACGTTCGGATTCCGGAAAACTTGGGATCATCCTGTCTTCCTTCTCTCGGGAAAGGGAATTAGGAACAGTCTTTGCGATGGTTGAACCGAGGATTAGTGGTGTGGGTGCAGACAATTTTCTTCCAAGCAGGGGAAGAGGTATCAGCCGTAGAAAGTAAATGAATCGGGGAAGTTGCGAGTTTTCGCTTTTTTTAACAATACTGAGTCCCTACCAGTATCGAATAGAACATGCTGAACAGCTTCCCTATCTCAATTACATCGTGTTGGCCGATAACTCGAAGGTATCCGCTCATGGGGCTTGGACAAAGTCCTATGATGGGTCTTTAAACCGGTTACTGATACAAATACCAAAAAGAAATGTAACCAACCTCTTGGGAGGAGTCAAAATCGAAAATATTCCACCATACCTTGGATTTGATGACTAATACAGATCCTTCAAGATTCCGCCTGACAGAAAGAGGGGACTTAGAACATCTCTTTTTACCATAGGTGGTGAATTGATGATACCATGTTCGATACACTGATAACCAATCCAATCGGAAACTGTGAGGATCATCGTCCTCACTGCGGTAGACTGATTTTTTATGACTTCACTTCGCTTCGAAAAGTTCGTTAGGTCGATCGGTTCGCATATATGGTTAATCAATAGGTCCGCGGATCTATTCTTCTATACGAGACGGTTGAGAGGTGCAAAGGATGCCTACTCATATGACCTGACGGCCGCCACGGGGCCGCTCGTCATTATGTTTGAGGTGTTCCAGTACCTATTTGACCGGTCCTTTGCTTCCTCCATAGTAAATTCTTGTCTTGCCACCATCCTTGTGCCATTTGTTAAACGAAAATGGTCACAGGTCTCATATCCGGAGGAGCCGCCCTTTATTTTCTTTTTTTTTTGGGGGTTCATTCCTGTCTTTCGAAAGGTCGTCACTTTTCAAACAAGGGGTTTACCGAGTCTGAGATCCGAAGTGGAACTTTTCAGCGGTCGGAAGAAGGACCCCCCACCAAGACGCGTAAATGGCAGAAATTTTACATCAGTAGAACGAACCTTGGGCTTGACATGACAGCACCTCGCGGCTCCCTTTCAAGATGAACAATGCGGCTAAGCGTGCATCTGGGGCGGATGTGCCGATGGATGGAGGCGGCTGCATCTAAGAGCAGCCTCGAAGCTGAGTTGTGGGGAGCTCTGTTTGGGCTTCAAATAGAGCCCTCATCAAAGCTCAATTACATAGACCCTCAAGACCACAAGCCAAAACCTCTGATGGATACAAGAATTCCGGAGGAATAATGTAGCTAAGACATGTGCAGCTAAGGCATGGGACGAGGCAGTCATGGGGAGTTTAAAACAAGTTCATCGAAATTTGACTTCACTGCGCTTCGAAAAGTTTGTATGGTCGAGATCTTCAAACCTTCACTTCGCCAATACTTTTGGCTTTCTCGGATATCTTAGTCAGGCATGCGCAGCCCAAAGAGAAGAGAGCAAACGAAGCGAAGCGAAGTGAATTCATAAGTAGTTCGGTGGCTTTACTTCCTATGGCTGGTACGAAAGGATAGGTTGTTAACAAAACTTTTATGACATCACTGCGCTTCGAAAAGTTTGTTGGGTAGTTATCCTCTGACAGGACAGATATTCTTTTCCTAGTTCCTAGACCTTTTTCATAAGGTCGACCTGTGAACAAGGTAAACCCAATGGAAACCAAAAAACGAGGGTACCGCATTGGGCAGAAGACGATCCAAAAAGCGAAGGCTCACCCAGCTAAAGGAAGGTTCAATGTAATTGTCTCGACCAAACAAACGAAGCGAAGTTCTTTTTTCTATGACTTCATTTCGCTTCGCTTCATTCGTTGGGTCCATCTTCTCCGGAGGCGTGTGGAGATTGACTTCGGAAAAGCCCTGGTTCCAAAGGTGTGTGTGGATGGTGTTTGGCACTCGGTTGAGTATGAAGGCTTGCCTCTAATTTCTTTCAAGTGTGGAAAGTTTGGCCATCGTGATTGCCATATCACTAGTGACCTGTCTCCCCGGGAATGGCTTTTTCCGGACGGTTGAAACTGGATCTCTAGGACCCAGGGTTAATGAAAGTACTTGGAATGGGCTTGCCACTAAAAGAAAGATATGCCTGCGACACCCAATAAAATGAGATTGTAAAAGAAGCCTCGCTAAGGAGCGAAACCAAAGGCATTTGAGTCCGATCTTCCCTCTTGGCAAGAAAAGGGCTAGGCTGCTGCTGGTCTTTATTGAGCACTTTCTTTGGACAGAGCTCTGTCCCAATGTTCGTCTTTCGTTTCATACGAGTTTACCATCAGCGGACTGAGAGATGAATTGATGCACATAACCTACAGGATCAACAATGCAGGTTTTGGGAAATTTCAGTTTCGGAATCTAAATAAATTTCGAGAAAAAATCATCGATCCTGTAGCCGCCATTTACTTGACTAACCAACCTGAGCTAGGCTCTTCACTTAAACTATATCTTCGGGTGATAGAGTGGAATCCTTTCCCCTTAGTCTATCTCTGACGCGATCAGGGATTCCTCGGATTATTCCTCTTCGTCACAGACATTGTATATCTTGCCGGGGGTCGGGTGGCTTGTCTTCGACTAGTATGACGTTTGACGACTGTACTGGACTGGAAGCAAGTGTTGTTTTAGGTTTGGGTGGGTTGGGATGAGGTAGCCGCACTGCTGTGTGCTTCAGATTTTGGACGGCGGTACTCCAAGGACTTCAACTACCGCCGAAAAGGGTTGGCCAACGGGTCACACGACAGGTGCACGATCGACTTTGCACGCTCCATCCTTCGGCCCTTCGCCTATCGGCTTGGAATAAAAACCTTGATTCGTCTTCGGCTTCGATTCGTTATGCTTAGCAGCTCCAACAAGCCCGTCAGTCTCTTGCCGCCTAAAACTCTGCCAAGAAAGCGCTGCTTTACGAGAACACCGGCCGCACTGACACCTTATCAACCCCGTGCGACAGGCCATAGTATACTTTTAAGTATTCTATTACAAGTATTATATTAGACGGTCGTGAAGCCTCCAGCCGGGGCCTTTAAATTCAATAGTCTCGCAGCTTTGCACCTCCGGGGCGGGGTCAGCCCATTGAACGCCATGCATACACAAACTAATGCGGTGCTTTTTCAACCCAACGAACAAAGCGAAGCGCAGTGAAGTCATAAGTAGGTCAATTGCATTTGGATTCGTTCCAATTCCAACGCGCATTATCTGCATCATCAGTTCTAGGCGAGAAAAGAAGGCGACTCTCCAATTTTCCCGACAAAATCTTCATCTTTTCCGTTTGGATTCAGGTTACCGTCCGATCAGATAAATTGTCGGCCTACGAGAATCTACCGAGCTATCTATCCATATTATATATAGATTCCAATATAGAATCCAACATTCCCATTTTTGAAATCAAAAATTCCATTTCCCCCGATTCCACGTATGGATAGAGTGGTCAAGGGGGTAGTAATGCAGGTAAACTAAAATCCCTTGATGATGTATTTTCTTACAATTTTTTGGCTAGCTAATAGAGGGATCGAGTGGTATAGTGTATTTGTTGGTATCTTGGAGGATTAAAAGCATGATTCTTGTTTTCCAATTGGCTGTTTTTGCATTAATTGCTACTTCAGCAATCTTATTGATTAGCGTACCCGTCGTATTTGCTCTTTTAAAAGAAAGGCTTTCTAGTAGGGCTTGTGAGTCTCGACTAGTTTCTGACTTCACTGCGCTTCGCTTCTAAAGTTGAGGTCAATTACATCGAACGACCATACAAACTTTTCGAACCAAAGTTCAGTCAAAGAGCTCAAAATACGGGCTTGTGAGACTCATCAAAGGAAGAAATACCTGAATAAAACAGACGCAAACATAACAAATAAAACCAAACAAAGACAAAGAAAAGCCTGTAGTGCCTCACTGCATTGACAAGGAGCTGATTGAACTCCCATGGGAGGTAACGCATCTGGACGCCCGACACATTGCGCAGGTAATAGTGGATGAAGTCGTTGCTCCCGATCGACACAAAGAACACCGACCCCCTGAACAGGTCGGCTGTCGCTGCCTCCCCAAGAGCCAGTGCCAGCAGCTCATATGTGTCCTCAACCTGCTGCACCTGCTGGGTGAGGTTGGCCCCAATCCTAAACAGAGATGGGGAAAGCCTATTGGTCCAAGGTTTCTGACTATTAGATCGAAGAGGCGCTTTAAAGAGCCATCTCTGGTCTCTTTTTCCTCTGCTTCGAGTTCTAAGCGTCTATGCATCGTATAGTTTCCTCTTCGCCTTACTCTCCTTCTTTCCTCTCCCTATGGTCGACTCAACTTTGTCGACCCTGCTTCCGCGTTCCTTCGCTCGTTCTCCTGTTAGTTAGACTGAGGAATGGCTATAGAAGAGTTGTCTGCCTTAGCTTGACAGCGTTCGATTGATTCAATATCGATGAATAACGAAAAGAGGGTTGAGGGCTGGAACGCGCGTATAACAAGAATTCTTGGAATGCCGTGGACATTCTTGATTGCTGGGTAATCCTGATGATTCTTCTTGACCAGGTGGTAGTTAAAGGAAGATCGCTTCGGAACAGGTGGTCTGTGATAATAAAATAAGGGAATTGCTCCTGCGCCTGTCCAGGTCGAGATCCAAAGCCATCACCTATAGGGGGTTCGATTCTTGCTTTCCTGGATCGTGAACCAAGTGGCTGGAAGCAAGGAAGTTCGAACCTAGAATGCAATTCATCGGTCTCTATTGAGTCTTCCCGTGCTAAGCGCAGGCAGCGAGTGAGCAGCATCTGAACAAGCAGAATCGGAGGTCCGTCCAGCTATGCACTTTTGGTATAGAATAAATGGGCGAAAGCCCGATGCAGCAACTTGCCAGGGGTTGTGCTTTGCTACACCATCTCCAACTAGTATTCCTTATCACAGCGCCCCCGTGGCTGCTTTCCAAGACGGAGTCCCAGATGGAGAAATTTGGGAAGACTATGTCTCGTGCGAAGCCATATCTTCTTTCTTTATTTTCTCCCGTCGAGATGATGAATAATTTCCAGGAATGAGATCATGACCCACGATCGAATTTCAGAGATCACGTCAGCGACGGAAGAGGCATGCACGAGGAGAAAGAGTCCTGATCGCAATAGCAAACGGCCTACTTATAGCCCGATTCGATACGTAATTGACTTCTTGCCTGTGTGGTGCAGCGGCTATCAGGAATGGGCGATAGCCTATGACTAAAAGTGCCTACGAAAAAGAATAGGAATTCCCCTATCTCGGCTGAGAAAGCAAGAGCTTGGACTATTTATTGACCTTTCTTCTGCCCCTGAGGCAACAACTGTAAGAACTTCGTCCGTACTATCTGCTTTTCTAGGACTTGAAGCTAATCAGGATTGATAGGAAGGTAATGTATCAACGGGTGGATTCTCTATATCTTTGTTATAAGAATCAAACATCTTTTCTTCTGTGAAAGAGCCACGCACAACAGACTTGCTCCCCCCTGCGGCTCTCTCGAACGTCCTTTGGACAACGCTTGCTACTACGCTCCTTCGAAAGAAGCAAGGGCTCCAGTCTTCCGTGGATCTGCCATATCCCTATTAGGTTTGGGAGTAGGGAAAGGAGCCTTCGCATCCAGTCGCTGTTCCCCTTGGTCTGACCTTTAGCATTACGTAACTTTACCTCTTCTGTAATGCCCCGTTTATTTGTGGATTATTTGGGATATATTATTATTATTGTTATTTCTGTGATAATATTTATATTTATTTTTCTTGAATGCCATAATATTTAATAATTGTCAAATGTGATTAAATGCTAAATGTGTAATTGTTTAATTGAATTTTTGTGATTATTAATGTGTAATTAAAAATATGAGAATATAAATATATATATTGTTCGGATTATTTTATCGCGTGTTTGCATTCGAAATCGAGCCCGAGGATTTTCGTTGGAACCGAAATTGGGCCCGAAAAATGTCCGTTTAAATTTTTAATCGAGCCCGTGAGCCGATTTAATGTCCCAACCGGCCCAAAAATCCATTTGACCCAACTTCTCGGGCCCGGCCCGACAGATTTTCTCCTCTTTTTTCTTTCACGCGTGAGTTGTGTTATCTTGAAGAGAAATATTCCTAACCCTAATCTATTATTTGTCTAACTCTCACGCTCGGTAGAAGGAACCTAAGCCCGCAGTCACTTCCTTCCTCGTCAAAATTCGATCGCGTACAGAGAAGACAAATCCCTCGTTTTTTTTTTCTGTTCATCCTCTTCGCTTCGTCTGTCGCGAAATCCCGTCACTATCCCTCTTTCCCCTTGTGATCCGATCACCCATCATCATCAACACCATCGCGTCGCCGCCAGCTCTCCTCCGACGAGCGCCTGTAACTCCTTTGCGAGCCCCCATCGCTGCTGCTCTGTTCGCGCAGGCCCTCCCTCCGGCGAGTCCTCCACGACCGGCGCCTGCAAGCCCTCCATCGCTGCAGCCCTCTGCTTGCAAGCCGACGAGACTTCCCCTCCGGCGACCCTGCTGCCCCTCTGCCGACGACCAACGAGGCCCTACGGTCGCGTCAAGCCTGCTCCTCTTCCGCGAGCCAGCCGTTGAGCCCGTGCCGCCGCGAGCTGCTCCTCGTCTCAAGCATCGAGCGCCGCAGCAACCGAACAGTCGAGAATAGCCGCTGCTGCACCTTCTTTCCCGGCGAGACGCGAGAATCCGTCGAGCCCTTCATCCCCGTTCGTCTTTTTCGTTTCCGTTTTCTGAGTTTTCCCGAGAACGGTACCTAGTCGATCCCATCTCGTTTAAATCGTTTATATGTTAATTGCTTATCGTGTTTTAAATGACGTGATGTGCCCTTGCGATTTGATTTACAAGATGTGAATATGTTGCGATTAATGGGTTCGACATGAATTTATGTGAAAGAGATGATTTTATGTGTAATCGTATATATGTTCGGGATCTCTTCGATTATGAGAAATCGAACGAGGCCTCGAAACTCGTGTAAGTCAGTGGATATTGGAACAAAGTCGAGTCCTTGGCCTTATGGGAAGGCCTCGGACGAGAAATTTCGTGTTATGAATTAATTGTTAAATTGTCGAGCATATATGTCGCTGTTTTGGTGTTGGAATTTTTAAAAATAGCTCGCTGCTTGAAACGATGTGAAATTTTGAGGGATGTGTTGTCTGTTCATTTCCTGCCTTGTGTAAACTTTTCATAATTTTTCGAGACCTGTAGCTATTTTTAATAATTAATTTGTATTCTGTCCAGAATATTGTTAAATGCATAATAAATTCATGCTTGACTGAAATGAGCTGAAATTCGAATATGTCGTGCCTCTGTGACTTATATGTGTTGTGTTAAATTTTTGGAATTTTTGGAGTTGATTTGATATGGATAATATTTTATTTATTGATTCGGCAGAAATGTTGTTTGAATTTTTAAAAATCGGTTACTGCATGAAAAATTCTGAACTTTTTCTGAGAGTCATATTTTAGGTGTTCGATCATGTTTGTAAAATATGGGAATTTTTAGTGTCTGTTTTGATTCAGTTTGAATTTAAATTCGATAAACTGCTGTTGCTCGTTTGAATTTTTAAAAATAGCAGCAGTTATCATTTAAAGCTGGAATTTTTATAAGTGAGCTTTGACATACTGAATGTTGATGTGTAAAATTTTCAGGTTCAGATTCATTCATTAAGTCTGAGTATGGATTAATGTGCCCTTTTTGCTGAATTACTGTTCGAATTTTATAAAATAGGATATTTCGAGTTTAAAGCTGAAACTTTGTGATTTTACATGTTTCTGGGAGATGAAATTTTGGGTAAATTTTCAGAGCTTAATTCGTAGGGTAGCTTGACC